TTGCACGTGTGGCTGGTTGCATACTCACCTTGTACAAGTTATATGTAATGCATTAACTAAAAACACAAATAAAGGCAATAGCTCCGTAACATCGGCCTTAATAACAAAAAAAAAAAAAAAACGTTTAATTAATTTACGATGTGCCGTGTTATGAATAATCTTAGTGACTTAAATTCTAAAACAATATACTCGATAAAAATAATTTAGAATCTATTTAATTTTATTGCAAGTTAAATTTGAATTTTTTAACAACTCGAATATAATTTAGAACTTTACTACAACATATATTTATTCGATGTATGACATCGTAGTTAGTAATGCTTGACGAAATTGATTTTATTAGTAGACGAAATGACGAAACTCTTGACGAAATTATTTTGATCTATAATTATTAATGATGAAATTAATTTTGAATTAGAATATTATTCTAAGGAGTATACTTTCTAAGTTTATAGAAAATTTCTTGGTATTTATATGAAATTTTTGGCATAATCGCAAAATGACGAAACTATTCGTCGATTCAAAAATAATTTTGTCAAGCATCTATAATCGTAGTATTGTTTAAATGACTATTTAAATTTATATTGATAATATACAGTAATTAATTTTTTTGATTAATTTAATTACGTTTAATTTACACATATAAAAAAATTATTTTACAATACCAGATCATTCTGCTAGTACATGTTATGATTATAATCCCACACCATTTTTATTATAATAAAATGGTGTGGGATTATAATTATAACATGTACTAGCCGGATAAAGGATCAGTTGTGTAACACCAACGTTCAACAGCCCCTAATACAATCGACCAATAGAATGCATTGTTTATCTGATTAATAAACATAATGATAATACAATATATATAGCTCAAGTTTCTCACGTCTTTGATTTTTATTTTTTTTCTAGTTAGATTGCTTCGATGGTTCCGGTCTAACCAGGTGAATTATTGATCGGTTGTGATTGTATTTCAACTTCTCGTTTGTTAAGTGTCCTCTTTCACTTTACAAACTACTCCTTAAAGATCACTTTTTTTTCTAAGAACAAGAAAAATTATAAAAACGAAGAATTTACATTTAAATTATTCGAGACTCTCCTAGAAAAATGGGGCTCTACATCAAAATCAATGAAGCAAACTTAGATAATTGTGTAAATTCTATCAATAAGTTTGGAATGCCTACAGGCTCAATTAGTAATAGACTTGTACATCTTTACTCAGATTCAACATTTACAAATGCTATATATCAGTTTGCTTCTCCATTGGTATCCAATAAAATTATTCAATATAAACTGAAAACACTTTGGACTCTTCAATATAAAAACAAGAAAAATTATAAAAATGAAGAATTTACATTTAAATTATTCGAGACTCTCCTAGAAAAGTGGGACTCTATACCAAGATCAGTTCCTTTAAAGTGGGACGATGAGTTATATCACAAGGAATACCAACAATTGATCAATGAAGCAAACTTAGGTAATTGTATAAATTTTATCAATAAGTCGAGAATGCCTACAGGCTCAATTAGTAATAGACTTGTATAACTTTACTCAGATTCAACATTTACAAGTGCTATATATCAGGTTGCTTCTCCATTGGTATCCAATAAAATTATTCAAGAATATGAACTGAAAACACGGAGAAGTGCTCAAGATTTAATTATGAACAGTCATGAATTTCCCAAATTTGCAGGATTTCATGAAAATATATTTGAGGATTTTGCCCATAGAGAGTTGCAAAAAGATGGTACATTCAGGTTACGATGCCTAAATTACTGAAATAAATATTAAAGAATTAGAATATAATCAATTTATATCCCTAAGCGAGGCATGTAAAGGTGGGGTGCGCTGTGGGCTATGTAAATCAAAACTATGTGTAATATCGTATAAAAATTAAATATTGAAGATTTTTTTATAATACTTATAAAATTAGGGTGCGCTATCAACTATGTAAATCAAAACTATGTGTGTTTCATATTATTGAATTTAGTGATCGGAATTATTTATCACTTTGTATATGTATTTTAATAATAAAGACTGACTTGAATGTTTTTAGATGTCTAGAGCGAATCGCTTTACTTTTTTTCAATTATTTTAGCATAAACCTATTTTTAAATGTGTTTATAACAAAGTTACGTTGGGATTTTTTTTAATGTTTATATTTAAATTTCAAGTTAACTCTTTACAAAAATTTTGGTTAACTTGTGAACTATTAAAAAAAGATATATTTTCGTTGCAGGCAAAAAAATTAATACTAGAATCTAAATTTTTTTAACGTAACTTTGTTATAAACGTGTTTAAGAATAGATTTATGCAAAAAGTAAAGCGATTCGTTCTAAACATCTAAAAACATTCAAGCCAGTCTTTATTATTAAAATACATATACAAAAAGTAATAAATAATTCTGATCAATAAGTTCTTCAATAACTAATTTTATTCGATTTTACAAGTATTATAAAAAAATCTTCAATATTTAATTTTTATATGACACCACACATAGTTTTGATTTACATAGCCCACAGCGCACCCCAACGTAAAGCACTATAACAAACCAAGATCAAAAACATTCGCATCTTTTGATTCTCTCAGCTTTAATGGAAAAACCTTGGCTTTGTATCAAATAACAGTTTCAAAAGATCATGTAATAAAGGTAAAGTACAATGGACATAATTGGATTTATCTGATTGCTTACTATGATTTGCCAACCAACAATATGCATTTTCATTAGTGATATTTTCGAATTGCATATTAATTTCGTGATTATTTTGAATTTAAATCATTCCGGTTCACATTTTATTTCCTATTTTGGATTTGCGGGGAAATTACAGGTTTTTAATATACATTTCAAATGATTATCAAATGCATCAGATCCGCCCATATGCAGAGATAATTAACAGTTTAAACTATCATCTCTGCTTAATAATTTATGACAAATAATAGTAAGCTGCCGGATAAATCTGTTATTAGGCATGCTGATACTATTTTATAATTCATTTATTTGACCAAGGATTTTAAGATCAGCATAAGAATATGAATTCCTTCATAATTCATATTCTGATTTTAAATTCTCTGTCAAATAAATCCGTTATCGGAAATCACCCGCCTAATAAGTTATTATTATAGTTTGTTTAAATTACTAACTCAGGTTATATAGTTGAAAGGACTTAAGGATCTAGATCGTTCTCTTACGTGGAAAAAAGATTCAAAAAACATCAGTATGTACTTCGTTGTGCCACCAGATATCTTTGAAACTTTTCCTCGACAGAAATATAAAATAATAAAAGATGAGGACTATCAAGGAGGAATTCCAGAATGGGTCAGTGGAATTACCCAATATGCGCTTGAAATCAACTTGGGAATTGACAATAAGCATGCAAAAAAACGGTCTAGCAATACAATATCAATAGATGATAAAGGCAATAAAGATGAAGCTGTGTCAAGGAAAAAACAGAAGACAAAAGAAGGTTCGGGAGTTGACATAGTTGGGGAAACATCAAAGAGTAACATGAGTTCAATGTATAACGTGAAAAAATGTAGTAGAAGAGGAAAAAAACGGTGATATGGGAGACACATGATGATCTGCATTTTAAGTGGCTACCCGTGATGCATTAACGTGCTGGATTTTATTCCTTATCACGTGCATTAATGCATTTTGATAAACCAATAAATCTCGCAACAAAACGTGCCACAAAAATAATCTATTAAAAAATGATTATGATAATTGTCAGACTAAATTTATTACTTTATCTGACTTGGCTCTTGAAAAAAATTTGATCCATGGCATATAACAGTATAATTAAAGTCACGTATACGACTAATTGCGTATTATCCAATAAAATTATTGGACAATTGGACATATGTAATTTTTGGAATTGTCCAATGTTTAATGGTTCAAAAAATTATTTGGGCATTTGGACTATGTCCAAATGTCCAAATGTTCAATGACAACTCTGTATATTTTAGCAAAATTTTTGACCGAAAATTTTGTAAATTCGTTTTAACGATAGCAGCCATTTACCGACATTACATAGGGTGACAGGTTAGACGTAGGGATGGGTTCGGTCCGTCACAAATTGTTATTTAATTATTATTCAGTTGATTTCAGATATACAACACTAAACAGTAGGTTAAAGTCTCTGACCGATTAGCTATACATGTAGCCGAACCCATCCCTAATTATGAGTTAAGGATGTGGGCTCATTTAGTGTTCCAAGTTGATAAAAATTTTGCTAATCAACTAGTTGCCAACTATAGTTGCAACTAATCAACTTTGTATCATGTGACTAAATTTGTTAATTAACCAATCAAATCAAAGAAATTAGCACGAATTAGCACAAGTTAGCCTGAACAGACAGAATATCTTATAATTAAACTATTTAATAATTTAGTTGGTTAGTTGTTTTTAAAATTTTTCAAATCAACTAGTTGAAAAGTTGTCAACTAGTTGATTTTTCAACTAACGATTTGGATCACTAGGCTCATTTACGTCTATAACCGGTTGTTGACCAGTTATAACCGTTCATATAACCGACTATGACTGACCGAACCCATCCCTATAGTTAGATGTAACCGTTTTAGCTGACCAATCACAATCCGATAATTAGGATCGGCAGGTTGCATACTTTCAGCCAATCAAATAGAACTTCCGCCATGCAGCCAAATTAAAAACCATAAGATTTTCATCAACGTTACATATCTGATTTTCTGACATGTCCTCCGTCACGACAAGTCTTCCTTTACAATATCAACGCGAAATACTAGATGAACTTTTAGCTGAAGATGGTTTTTTGATTTTAAGTCGTGGCTTAGGCTTAAGACGTATAATATGTGCGCTCCTCAAAATATATTCTCACACAAATCATTTAGTGATTTTGTTAAATACTCCTGCACATGAAGAAATTATCATCAAGGAAGAACTCGCAGAAATAGGCGTTAGGAAACCTGGGCTGAGGGTTGTGAACAATGAGATAGGTATCAAAGAAAGGTTAGTGCCTTAATTTGGAAAACTGCATTTGTAACGATGCTTAAAACTGCCATATCTTACCGCAAAAATAAGCACCATCCCACTTTGTCTAAGTTTATTTGTTGTACGATACGGTAGTAATAAATATAATACTGTATATATCAATTAGAAATAGAAATATTTTACAATAAAAGATATTATTTCAAAGAATATCTATTTTTAAACTCTTTGTAGATCTGAATTGTATCTTTCGGGTGGTATCATATCGGTCACCTCTCGAATTCTTATAGTGGACCTATTGACAAAACGAATTCCTTCGTATCTTATTACTGGAATATTAGTGAACCATGCAGAGAGGTAACGTTGCCTTACATGAAGTGGTGCTTTAACATGAAAACATTTTAAACGTATAAAATTTGGTCAGGGTAAATGAAACGTCAATAGAAGCATTCATATTGAGAGTTTATAAAGAAGAAAATCAGGCATGTATAATCCTTTATGTATATATATATTTATAACTTGGTGCAACGTGTATATACTTATTTTCTGGTTACCATTTTTATATCAGGAAGGATTTATTAAAGCATTTTCAGATTCACCTGAATCCTTTACTGGTTTTTCACCATTACAAACAACTTTACAATATCTTCAATTACGCAAAGTGTTCTTATGGCCACGGTATTTTATTATTGACCATTATGTTATATAGATAGTTCTTTCATTTATATGCTCTAAAGAACAAAATGATTTAATTTATTTTTAAGATTTCATGTAACTATACGTGAATGCCTTGAAGAACGAAAGGTTGAAGTGATTGAATTATATCAACCCCTGTCTAATTCCATGCGTGATATACAATCAGCTATCCTTGAGTGTATAGAAGCTTGTGTAGCAGAACTTAGAAAAACAAATATTGCTTGGGTATTTTATTGAGTATGGTCTCATTGTCCGTACCATTTATATTGTAACCACCAACAATTTCACGCATATTTATTATTGTTACTTAATGCGATATTTAGTTAGACATCGAGGATTTAACTGTAGAGCAAGCTTTCTTTAGATCTTTTGACCATATAATAAGGCAACAACTTGATCCAGTGTGGCATCGTGTTGGACAGAAAACAAAGTTTCTGATCGGCGATTTAACAATGTTACGCAAGTTACTCACGTATGTTCTATCAAAAATGATCAAAGATTTTATGTTCATATGCGAATACATTTTAATTATCATGTTTTTAATAGATATCTGGTGGGCTATGATTGCGTGACTTTTCATAGTTTCTTGGAAACCATACTTGCGAGTCAAACACCATCATCTACGTTAAATCAGCAGCAACAATCACCATGGATATTTATGGACGCTGGCAACACTATATTTTCTGTGTGTTTGAATTTCATTTTGTATGATTAATTAAATATATCTAAAACTTTTAATTACACAGTTGAATATTATTTTACAAATCAGGTGGCCAAAAGTCGCGTATATCTCCGAGAAACACCAAAGAACATCATGG